GATACTTAAAAATATATATCAGCACGTCAGTAGCAAAATTTAAATTACGAAATTAATGCCCTTATTCCTCTACTAAATAAAGTAGTTTTCAAGATTTAACTGTTAGCGCAAAGTTTGTTTGACCGTATAAACAAGGTTTGAACCCGCAACCTCGTGCTTGACATGCATGTCATACATGCTTTTATTTTAGTCCCTACATTTCGGGAACGCTATTCGTATTGAAGCATGCAACACTGTAAATTACAGTGCTGCCAATCAGCTTAAGCGTCAAGTTACGATGAACGGACAATACAGGTATATACCTGGAAGCCTGGACAGATTATCACACTGAACGGAGCCTGGAAGAGTAGAGTAATAAACTGGTACTTAGTGTTTATGACAGTTATTACATTTTTGACTGGTACTAACAAGGAGTAAAATATTCTTTAAAGAGAGTATCTATTAACGTTACGCATCGAATCAGTCCTACAGCCCGAACGACAAATCGCGATCGAGTCACATAAACCTCAAAATGATTCGATCATTTTTGACCTTGGATTTAAACCCGAGAGCCCGCAACCGCGAATTACCTCGCCACAGAGTACTACGTTTTGTGCACAGAGTACTTTTTGAATCCCAAGGTTTAGTACATACGTGTTGTATCATTACTCTAAGGCTAAGATTTTGTGGTAGTCGTAGGTAAACGTAGTGATTATATTGTTGCGCGCCACTTTTAATGTCTTGTACATGGCAACACTAGTTACACTAGCGCCCCCTAGTGTCGAGTAAATGAAAGTATTGCGCGCCACTATTAATGTCTTGTACATGGCAACACTAGTTAAACTAGCGCCCTCTAGTGTCGAGTAGCAGAACTAGGAGAGCGAGATCCTTCCAGAAACTTCGGGACCGATATGTACTCGAACATTCTAGATGTCGCTACAGTAGAAGGTTCTGGAAACTATCTGAGGCCCTATATAAGACCGGTATAGACCACGACCGGGGCAGTATTGAATTGGCGATACAAGAGAATACTTCGAAGCGAAATAACGGCGAACTGTGTTTTATTATTAGTGTGATTTTAGATTGTAATTAGTGTTGTGTAATTAAAGTGTCAATTTTGGTAATTCAATCGGCAGTTTTTAATTGTCTCGAACCCGAAGCTCGTAACAATTGGTGTCAGAAGTGGGATCAAATATGCCGATTTTACCTAAAGACGACACGGAGGGTATCCGTACCCGAAGTCAACGCCAACAGGAGACGGACCAGAGACGATTTGGTAATGCAACGCCGCAAACGTCGGAGGGCCAGTTGCTAACCACGGAGGCTGGCCCGTCAGCAGCTCCTGCATCTGCAGCACCTGACTTAGGTGCTCTGATGATGATGCTGCAGGATCAGGCTCGCCGACAGGAGGAACAGGCCCGCCGACAGGAGGAACAGGCCCGCCGACAGGAGGAACAGACCCGTCGGCTGGAAGAGCAGCTGCAGCGCGGTATGGAAGAACAGATGCTCCTCAGGAAGGACCTTCACGCTACCTTCGGGTAGGTGAAGGATAGGGTTGCTCAACATGACAACCGCCTGTCGGAAGCTGAAACCCGAATCGACCAAGTGAACAATCGGGTTGACAACGTGATGGCTGATGTGAAGAAAACGCTGGACGACCTCAAACTTGGGGATGGAGTAACAGCTCCCGTGGTAGCTACAACACTTTCGCTACGTGGATTCAAAGTGCCACCGTTCGACGGGACTTCTTCCTGGTCGGCCTATAAAATCCAGTTCGAGGCTGTCATGAAAGCGAACGGCTGGAATAAAAGTCAGGCCATGACTGCTCTCACCCTAGGCCTGCGCGACCAGGCATTAACTGTTCTGGAAGCTCTCGGTAAGGAAGTGACTTACGAGCAGCTCCTTGAGGCATTGGAGGCGAGATATGGCGACGCTCACCTGGAACACGTCTTTCGTGCGCAGCTCAAAGATCGCGTGCAACGCAGTAACGAAAACCTGCAGCAGTGGGCCCTTGAGGTGGAGAAGCTGGTTCGAAAAGCGTACCAGTCTGTACCTGCGCTTATTGTAGGGAACCTGGTGCAGACATTCATCGACGGCATCCGCGACCTTGAAGTCAGAGCTGCTGTGAGGCTCGGGCACCACGAGACGCTTAAGGACGCCTTGACCCATGCACTGGAGGTGGAAGCCGTGCGGCAGGATCATCGTTCCCACCGCGTCAGGGAGGTTGCAGCAGCTAAAGTTCAGGACCGCAATAAAAGCTACAGCCCTAGGTGCTACGGCTGTGGAGAAAGGGGCCATCCTCGATCCAGCTGCCCTAAGCGAACTGTAAAAAGGGAAGGTGATCGATCTCGAGAGGGTAGTGCGGATAATAGCACCGCCCAGCAGCAGCAGGGAAACTGGCGGGTGCTGGCTGATGTTAAAAGAGCCCCAAGGATTTCGATCTCACAAACTCATGATGGGAACAGCCTAATCATCAAGGGCGAAGTCAACGGAACGCCATGTAAACTGACCATAGACACTGGAGCCTCTCGCACGGTTGTCAGTTCCCAACTTATAAGTCGGTTCCTTGGTGACTCCGCATACAACCGAGAACGCATTAATTTGGTGACAGCCACTGGTCAGCGCATACCCGTCCGTGGAGAGAAGGAGATGGAGTTGAAGCTAGGCAACATGATCTACCTGCATAATGTCATCGTTGCTGATATAATGGACGACTGCATCCTGGGCCTAGACTTTATGAGGAAGAATTGTTGTGAGATCGACGTTAAGCAAGGTGTTTTGAAATGTGGACAAGAAGAACTTTTCATGGAAGGGGCGTTACCAGGGAATGTGTACAGCCTTAAGAAGATTGTTCTTCCGCCGAGATCGGAAACGATTGTGCCGGTTAGTCTTCCTCGGAGTCCTGGGCAAGCCCATCGTTGTGTACTCGTGGAAAGGGTAGACAATGACCTTCCATGGAAAGTGGCTCGAACCTTGGTCAGAACCACCGACATCTCAGGAGTACGTGTGTTGAACCTTTGTGATCAGGAACAGATTATAGAAAAAGGCACATTGGTTGGTACTAGTGAGGAAGTGGATTGGTTGCGTCGATGCGAATATCTATCGACCGGGACCCCCAGCAAGGATGGACAAACGATAGTGACCACACTTTTGGAAGACTGTCGCAGCGTTCTTTCCCCGAATGAAATAGTCAAGGCGAAGAAGTTGTTACTCAAGTACGCCAATGTTTTCTCGTCAAACGAAGCTGACATAGGAAAGACTGGCTTAGTTCAACACAAAATAAACACAGGACAAGAATTGCCTATTCGTCAGCGGCCAAGAAGATTGCCTGTAGCACGTGAAAAGGAAGTGGAAACCATGATTGAGGGAATGGTGAAGGATGGTGTTATTGAACCTTCATCTAGTCCATGGTGTTCACCTGTGCTGGTAAAGAAAAAGGACGGCAGCATGCGGTTTTGTGTTGACTATCGCCGCCTGAACGACATTACAAAGAAGGACAGCTATCCCTTGCCAAGAATTGATGACACGCTGGATATGCTTACAGGCGTAAAGTGGTTTAGTACGCTAGATCTGAAAAGTGGCTACTGGCAGGTTGAAATTGACCCTAAGGACAAGGAGAAAACTGCATTCTCCACAGGAAAGGGTCTGTGGCAATTCAATGTCATGCCGTTTGGATTGTGCAATGCTCCAGCAACGTTTGAAAGGTTGATGGAGCTTGTACTTACCGGGCTAATTGGAGATGCTTGTCTGGTCTATTTGGATGACATCATCATTGTGAGGAACACCTTCAAAACCTGGAACGCGTGCTCATGAAGATCCAGAGTGCCAACCTCAAGTTGAGTCCAAAGAAGTGCTCAGTATTCAAACGGCAAGTTAGTTTTTTGGGGTATGTAGTGTCGGAAGAAGGTATCCGCACGGATCCAGAGAAAATTGCTGCTGTCAAGGAGTGGCCGGTCCCAAAAGACAAGACACAGGTTAGAGCATTTTTGGGTTTGTGCTCTTATTATCGGCGATTTGTGAAGAACTTTGCAGATATAGCCAAACCTCTGCACAAGCTAACCGAGGAGAAGCGACAATTCTGCTGGGATGAAAGTTGCGATATTGCATTCCAGGAGCTCAAGAACCGCCTGTGCAAAACACCTATTTTGGGGTACCCTGATGCGGGCAAGGAATTCATAGTTGACACAGACGCAAGTGATATAGGACTTGGCGGTGTGTTGTCTCAACGGAATGGTGATCAAGAGATTGTGATAGCGTACTTCAGCAAGTCGTTGTCAAAGCCGGAAAGGAACTATTGTGTCACAAGACGGGAATTGCTTGCTGTGGTAAAGTCCTTGCAGCATTTTAGCAAATATCTTCTAGGGCGGAAATTCCACTTACGAACTGACCATGCTGCACTGAAATGGCTATTGCAGTTCAAAAATCCGGAAGGACAAGTTGCGAGATGGATAGAACTACTGCAGGAATACGACTTTGTGATCGAACATCGCAGCGGGAAATCTCATGGCAATGCAGATGCATTGTCAAGAAGACCTTGGCCTGAAGATTGCAAGCATTGTACTAAGCAAGAGGGTGAGGAAGTGGTATCTGTGAGGATGCTCAGGACAGACCAGCTCAGCAATGAGTGGAAGGACAGCCTACAACATGCACAGCAGGAAGATTCGGACATTAAGCCGATTCTGGAATAGATGAAGGCCAGTGCTCCTAAGCCCAAGTGGAGCGACGTCTCAGCAATGAGTTCGATCACGAAAAGCTATTGGGCCCAATGGGACAGCTTGCTGATTCAGGATGGAGTCCTGTGCCGTAAATGGGAAAATGGTCGGAGAGACAGTTGTCATTTGCAAATGGTTGTCCCTAAGGCTAAAGTACCGGATGTTCTCCAGCTGTACCATAGTGGTTGTTCAGGAGGCCACCTGGGAGTTAAACGAACTCTACTGAAGATCTGAGAACGGTTTTACTGGGTCCACTGTCGTGACGATGTCGAGGACTGGTGCCGCAAATGTGCAAGTTGTGCGGCTGTAATGGGACCTCAAATTTGTAGTAGAGGCGCATTGAAATTGTACAATGTTGGTGCACCATGGGAGGGGATAGCCATTGACGTTGCGGGGCCGTTTCCGGAAAGTGAAAGTGGTAACAAGTATTTCATGGTTGTGATGGATTACTTTACTAAGTGGTCAGAAGTCTTCGCTATTCCAAATCAAGAAGCTTCAACAGTTGCAGATAAACTAGTTCATGAAGTTTTCTGTCGTTTTGGAGTACCCTTAGAGATTCACAGCGATCAAGCAAGAAATTTCGAGTCTCAAATATTCCAGGAAACTTGCAGAGTTATGGGTACTCATAAAACACGAACAACTTCTTACCACCCACAATCTGATGGAATGGTAGAACGATTTAATCAGACATTGAAAAAGTACCTGGCAAAAGTTGTGGAAAGACGGCAACGAGACTGGGACAGGCACATACAACCGTTTTTGTTGTCATATCGAAGCGCTGTTTACGAAAGTACATCAGTGACGACAGCTTTCGCAAACTTTGGGAGATAATTGCGGCTGCCTGCAGACCTGATCACCGGAATACCACCTGATGCCCCACGCAGTATAACCGATTATGCAAATGACTTGCGGAACAAAATGAATGACATTTATGAGCACGTCAGACAGACGGGCCAGCAAACGTATGAGAAGATGAAAACACGGTATGACCGCAAAATGAACAACAAGGGGTTTGATGAAGGTTCACTAGTGTGGTTACACAATCCAGTTCGCAGCAAAGGGAAATCTCCTAAGCTTCAAGCTAAATGGGACGGACCGTACCGGATTGTGACAAGGAGCAATGATGTAACCTACCGGATACAGAAAGGTGCCAGAGGTACTCCTAAGATTGTCCATGTGGATCGACTGGCGCGTTATTATGGGGCCAATAATGCTCGGGACGAGCATGTCTTAGGAGGGGGCAGTGTTGCGCGCCACTTTTAATGTCTTGTACATGGCAACACTAGTTACACTAGCGCCCCCTAGTGTCGAGTAAATGAAAGTATTGCGCGCCACTATTAATGTCTTGTACATGGCAACACTAGTTAAACTAGCGCCCTCTAGTGTCGAGTAGCAGAACTAGGAGAGCGAGATCCTTCCAGAAACTTCGGGACCGATATGTACTCGAACATTCTAGATGTCGCTACAGTAGAAGGTTCTGGAAACTATCTGAGGCCCTATATAAGACCGGTATAGACCACGACCGGGGCAGTATTGAATTGGCGATACAAGAGAATACTTCGAAGCGAAATAACGGCGAACTGTGTTTTATTATTAGTGTGATTTTAGATTGTAATTAGTGTTGTGTAATTAAAGTGTCAATTTTGGTAATTCAATCGGCAGTTTTTAATTGTCTCGAACCCGAAGCTCGTAACAATATTCTCTTTGGTCGTAGGTACTAACAATTCCGATCGATCGGAATTGTAATTATAACGTTTCGTACTCTTGATAGCGACTCTAGCGCTAAATTCGTATTGTGTGGTGATTGTGTGAACTAATTGAGATTGGAATTGAAATTGTCCAATCCGATTGTAAGCAAAATCGGCACTCTTGACGCAGTTTTGACCAGTGAAGTATAAGGGTGTTTTTCATTTTTCGTGCACATTACACGTCCAGGAGAAAAGTCTTTATTTTTTCATTAAATATCTACATTTCTTATAAAGGAATCTAAATATAATAAGGTTATGCTTACATGCACGTAATATTTACAGATCAAAATGAAGTAATAAGTAAATTATAAGTAATAAACTTCAATAATTCTCATTTTCTTCGCCGTCCATTTACTACTCTCCTAAATAAATTTGTTTTTTAATCAAAAATATCAATATTAAGTATAAAAAAATAACTATACTATGAAATTTCATTAAAAAGCACAACGTTTACACCCAAAATAAATAACGATAACTCCACGATATAATGAAATTTTATTACATAAATGTTTAAAAAAAAAAAATCTGATTACCATCGGTTTTGATGAAAATCTAAATTATAGTCGGCGTATGGCCTTGAATGTTGTAATACCGCCATACTACGCCCCGCACATGTCTCAGTCAGCCAGCAAACATCGTAGAAGGTTCACGCTTCTTCGTGGAAAAAAAATATTTACGTGTAAAGTATCGCAGGAGGTGATTATTTTGGAACGCTCCTCTTTTCTATCGTCATTATTATTAAGTGAGTATTAATGTAATTCATTATCAATTCTATTTTATATATTCGTAAATTAGGATAAGCATGGGATTCGTACTATTGATATTTTTAGGAAAAAAATTGGATGAAGGTTAAAACCTCATTACCTTCTTCCTCACTGCCTTCGTTTACCGTCGTTTTTTATATCGATGATAATGAGGTCAAAACGATGGCAATTAGAATATTTTTATGTCAATTTATTATTTTTTTTTTACTATGCATTTTCACTTTGCAAACCTTGTCGTCGCGGGTTCTAGTCCCACCCGTGGTTGAAATTTTCTTTCCACAATAATACTACTACAATACAGTAATAACAATACTTTAATGCATAATAAAATAAATAATGAATTGTTTTTACTTTGTTTCGTGATGTAGCTTTGTTTGTTTATACGTCTACATAGTATACGTTTTATAAAATGTAAGTTAAGGATGAGCTTGATATTATGACATTATATTTTGTGTTGTTACAGATTACTAAGAATTAATAATGCCAAAGAAAGCCAAACAAACATTAGAGCAGAAACGAGAGCGCGACCGATCACAAAAACAAAGAAAGTATGCAGAAATTAAGGAAGATCCTGAAAAGTATGCAGACCTGAAAGCAAAAGAAAGAGCAAGATACCTTAAAAGAAAAGAACAGAAAAAAATAAGTAGTGCAAAAGATATGACACCTAGACAATTGAGAGTTCAGAGGAAGAAATGGAGAGTTAATTCAAAACGCCATTATGAAAGAAAAAAAAAGAGAAAGCTATTCAACAGTTGTTATTAGATAATTCTCCACCAAATAGTGACACTGAAGTACTTCCAGCTGAACAAGATTCTCTCACTCGACCAGCTCCAAGCCCCAAACCTAATTCATCTCTAAATCGTTTGGATTTCGGTAATAGTAATTCTTGTCAAGGGTGCCTAAAGAAAGATGTTCTTCTGAGAAAGGTTCGTTACCTACATAAAAAAGAAATAGGCATTTTGAAACAAGAAATAGAAAAAACAAAGAAACAGAAAGATGCCATTAGAAAAATGTTGTATAGAGTAATGAAAAATAAGAAACAAAACGAGAACATATCGACTGAAGAAAAAGTAGAACAATTAGTAGAAATTGTAGATACAAAAAAGCGTGAAGAAATTAAAAAGAGACTAATATTTGGTGAAATACTTTCAAGAAGTGTTGGTGAAGGGTACAAGTGCTTGAGGAAAAAAGATAAGAAAGAGTTTTCTAGTGTGGTTATGACCGAAAAAGAAAAGTTTAAAAAATATAAGCTCTTGACACAAACAAAAATATTCACAGTAAGAAATAAAAAAGAAAATAAAATAGCTAAAAGTGAAAGCTTGAAAGAGCAACTAATTTTGGAGTTTTTTGACGATGACGAGATGACTAGAATTGCAGCTGATAAAAAATAATATATAACTAAAAACCAAATAAGGAAGCAGAAAAGATACTTGACGGACACATTGTCTAATCTATACAAAAAGTTTACGAATAATTCTAATGTCAAAGTAACGTATCAAACTTTTTGTAAATATCGTCCATTGTGGGTTTTATTTCCAAAAGAGTCCAGTAGGAATACGTGTGCTTGCAAAGTTCATATTAATGTAGATTTGTTGATAAAATGCCTTAACACAAATAAAATACTAAAAGAATCTAACGGGACAGGTGTTTTAGAAAGCTTATGTTGCAACATTTACGATGAAAATTGTTTGAATCGAACATGTGTAAAATGTCAATTGAAAAATTTAGATTACGCCGAATTCCATAATGACAAAAAAATTAAATATTATCAGTGGAGTAATTGCTCTGTAAAATATTATGTAAAAAATGAGGAGAAAACAAAATTAGTAACAAAAAAAGTAACATTTTATGATTTTCCACGAAACATTATTTTTCAATTAGAAAATACTCTTATAACAATATAGAAATATTAAAGAGCTTAAGAATAATCTTACTCCGCAAGAAGTAGTGATTCACGTCGACTTCAGCGAAAACTACTGCGTTAAATATAACGAAGAAATCCAGAGTTTTCACTTTGGTGGTAGTAGAATGCAAATATCACTGCACACATGTGTTATCTACTTGATAGACCCAGAAGTTGGAATTCAAAAACAATACAGCTTTTGCACTGTAAGTGAATGCACCCAACACGATGCTGCGGCTATTTGGGCACATTTGATACCGACCATTGGGTACGTGATGGAGATTTCGACCCAAATTGATACAATACACTTTATTTCCGATAGTCCAACCAGCCAATATCGAAATCGCTTTATTTTTTATATGATAAGCCAACTGTACCGTGATTTTCCACAACTGAAATCTGTGACCTGGAACTACTTAGAAGCTGGACATGGCAAAGGGGCGCCAGACGGAGTTGGTGCTGTTCTCAAACGAACAGCAGATCAAGTAGTCCGCTTTGGCGGTGACGTGGACTCATTAGAATCATTCTTAGCCTGTCTTAGACCTAGAGTGAAGATTGACATTCGCATTGTAACGAGAAATGACATTGAAGCAAGAAGTTTTCCAACAGTCTTAAAAGCAGCTAAAGGTACAATGATGGTGCACCAAGCTCTTTGGTCATTTGGGTGCTCTAAAATAAGTTTAAGAAAACTAAGTTGTTTTCAGTGTGGCAATAAAGTTATTTGCAGTCACGGTAAACATATTGGGCATTATAACATTCCATCCTACGAAAACGTCAATATTAACCAATTTCAGAGTTTTCTCGATGAGAATACAACACCAGATATTATCCAAGAAATAAGCAACACAGGTTTTTCAGTTACTCAATCTGATCAACCGATTAGTTTCAAAGATCAATCGTCAAACAGACCGTATTCGCAGAAAATCAAAATATTATCGGATATAAATGTGACTGATTGGGCAAATAGAAAGTTTTATATTGATAAGGAGAATCTTGCTAAAATAAAAAAACAAAATAATACTTATCAAACAAATTTTGAGAAATTCATTATGTTTAAGGATAGAAATATAGAACAGAACACCAAAGAAAATAAAGACGAAAGTGAACAGAAAAAAGACTGATTGACTTTTGCGACAAATAGATCAGAAAATTTTTTTTTTTATTTTAAAGATAAATGTGTTGATAAACCTAAACATTCACTTGTAAAAGTGAGCATTCACAGCTTTTAAATTTTGTCAAATTGAACAACATATGAAGACAAATGTCGGTACGAACATTTCGTTGATAATGCTAGGGAACACTCGTCAGTTAAAGTAGCAAATGCTCATTAATTTATGTGTAATGTAACATTCACTAGTATTCTCAGGTTTATCAGCATATTTAGAAATATAAGTTTAGTTTTGTTTAAGCCTGATTTTTATTTTTTGCTAAAAAATCTTTTGATTGTTGATTTCGTATTTCCAAAGATTATGGTTAATATAAATAAAGAAACATGACTTAATTTCTAATAAAGGCAAGGAGAAATGATGTTATTGACTATGTTAAATAATATGAACCTTAAATATCTATTTAAAAAATAATTTTAGTAGAGCAATTACGTTAATTAAATATTAAAAATGCATATTTTATTATATCATTGCCTTCTGTTCATTTTCATTACCTTCACATCCTTATCCCTTCACTTAACGACTCAATATCATTCCCATCCTTGACGTTCTCATTACCGTATCATTCCGATTATTGATATGATAGTAATTTCATTTTTATCTATACACGAAAGGTAGAAACCACTAAAAGTTTAAGTATTATATATATATTACAGATATTATAAAAAGAAACGAAGTAATTCGACAATAAATTAGCCATTTAGAAATGTCGTGGAATTTGCACGAAATGCGCGAAACACCCATAATGTACTTACGTACTAGAATAGCTATTTCAAACAAAAACTGTGCGCTACTCTATGTCGTTGCGCATTCGCCGTAAAAGTCTTACCGCGCATGCGCGGTTTTTTATCATAATAGATTATTCGTAGGTAGAATGATCAGTAGGTATTTAATTATTGTTTATTTAGAGTACATATATTGTTAATTAATTTATTAAAACGAGTTCAATTTTTAATAATTTGTCATTTATTTTGCATGATATGAGGTAAATTAATATGATAATATACACAATATGATAATATTATCACAATAGCATTTTAATTACATTTTATATAAATATTTTATAAGATAACTATATAAATTGGAAGGAATCGAAGCTAATGAAATATATATATATTTAAATCTAGAACTGGGTCCCCAAATGCCCTAACCTAAGTTCGCGTGAGGCATGAACACAGAGCTGATACTTTTTTATATTATGCCTTATTAATTACTGTGAGAAAACATAGTAAAACTTTAAAAACTTCTACCATTTCTGTTTACAAATGAATTATCCGTATATACATTTATTTGTTGTCTTTTGCTGAAAATTAATTTCAATTAATAAAATGTATAAATGTTATTGTAAAAATATATATTAGGAATTTAATTAAGTTTCTTTAAACAATAAAAGTTTTGTTAATTTTTGCCTTCTTTGTACTATATTTATCCTCTTCCTTAAAATGCAAGGAACAAATGTATGTATGATTTGTTGGTAACCACATCTCTTCTCTACGATTATTTTGGACGAATTTAATCCACTTTTCTCGGTTTTCGTGGCTTGGACGTGGAAACCTAAAAATAAAATAAAAGAATAATCACCAAAGATAAACGTAAGAAATTTAGCCTAATTATATATAATTCTATTTATTTCTACAAAGAAAATTGTGCATAATATAATCGTCCTACACTTGCTGACAGAAATGTCGTATCTGAACAAATTAATTTCATAATCTATATTCGAAGACACAAGTTGGCGCCAAAAAATAACTTTTTAATTATTTATCTATAATGTTTATTATTATTTAAGTATCTTACTTACTGGTGAAAAGCGATTCCTTGGTCTTTACTAACATTTCGTGAATTTTTTGTGCAATATCTAAGAACACACTCCGGCATATTTGGCACGACTTTCCATTGACGTCCGTCGAGTTTGATGTTGATACGTATTTTTACAGAAAGGTTACATTTTTATAAACACACACACACATAGTTTCAATATGCGGAAACACGTACTTATTGAGAAATAAATATTGAAAATCAAATATTTTTGAAATATTTATGTCAATTCCTATCGTGAAACTGACGCCATTTTTTATTATTATTGTCAGTAGGGATGTCGATTCTTTCCGAAAAGGATCGATTTTTTAAATGGATTCGAATTGTAAGCTGATGTATCGATTCCCAAAAAATCGATTTCTAAAATATCTATATTTTTTTCATGTATGCATTTATAATGTAAATATAAATCCATTTTATGAGAAAAAAATTCCTTTCATAATAAAAAAATAAGGGGACTGATTCAGAAGGATTTCTGTATCTATTTTGAGACTGCTACATTTCCGACGCTGCGGGAAGAGCAGCCTCTACGCCTTAGCGTAACAAATCGTAGGCATCGGACGAGCCGGAGGCCACTCCCCCTACGCGCCTCCGGCTCTATAAAACTACTCTAGGGTTAGGACAGACTCGTACCAGGTGGAGTCGGGGTCAATCAATTCGGTTCTTTAACAAAAGTTGAACCTAACCTATTTTTTTTTTGTTATCTGCCCTAATAGGTACTGTTAAAATAAAACAAATTTCAATAAGAGATCATTTATCATGGTATCTTTCTTGTTTTTCATAAAATTGATTTATATTTACATTATAAATGCAAACATTAAAAAAATATAGATATTTTAGAAATTGATTTTTTGTGAACCGATACATCAGCTTACGATTTGAATCGATTTAAAAATCGCCCTTTTTCGGAAAGAATCGACATCCCTACTGACGTCGACAATGACACTAAAAAAACTAAAAAACACGTTTCAATTTTATTTTTGGTATTCTTCTCAGCAAACCCTTTTATTTGATACCCATATATATATAATAATGAATGCACAAAAAATAACTAGTCCTCCATCCTTGGGAGCCATATAGGATTTAGAATGACGTCACTTATTTTCATCTAAACTCAACATATATGCAAAGTTTCTTCACCATCGAAAACCTAAAAGTTGGTCAAATTTAACTTTCAATTTTTTTTACATAATTATAGATGAAGATATTATATGCGTGTTAGAAATAACTATTATTATGATTAATGAACACTTATATTTTGTCTATAATGAATTTTTCAAAAAAGGTATTTTAAAAACATTTATTATAAAGAACGAAATCAAAAGTCCATGGAAACCTTGTAAATATTTTATTGAATACCTAGATCTATTTCTAAATTTGGTGTAACAATGGTCCTGCAGTGGGTCAACGCCTTCCATTCGCACATCTTCATCAAAATCCATGCTAGTCTTCATCAGAAGACTCGGATGTGTCGCCTGTAACATTAATCATAAAATTATTTATTTCCATATCCATCAGTCTATCGCGGTAGGTAAGGCGGCAAACGGAGAACCTCATGTCCATGTTCATTTAACATTTGTTATTTTTCATACTGTGGGTCTCCTTTATGTTATTTGATTAATTCGTAAATTTGCGCTTTTGTCCAACGATCATCCATTTCTCGTAATCCACTCTTGGAACTCTGCTTTTGTATTGCCAATTATAGGCGCCTTCTTTATCTGTGTGCTATGACGCATTATCCATCACTACAATGGAATTTGTTGGTGGGTTTGGCACAAATTCCTGACGATTCTTAGATAATTCATATTAGATAATAGGATAGAGAAAATATTGTTACGAGCTTGGGGTTCGAGGCAATTAAAAACTGCCGATTGAATTACCAAAATTTACACTTTAATTACACAACACTAATTACAATCTAAGATCACACTAATAATAAAACACAGTTCGCCGTTATTTCGCTTCGAAGTATTCTCTTGTATCGCCAATTCAATACTGCCCCGGTCGTGGTCTATACCGGTCTTATATAGGGCCTCAGATAGTTTCCAGAACCTTCTACTGTAGCGACATCTAGAATGTTCGAGTACATATCGGTCCCGAAATTTCTGGAAGGATCTCGACTCATAGTTCTGCTACTCGACACTAGAGGGCGCTAGTGTGACTAGTGTTGCCATGTACAAGACATTAATAGTGGCGCGTAACACTGCCCTCTCCTAAGACATGCTCGTCCCGAGCATTATTGGCCCCATAATAACGCGCCAGTCGATCCACATGGACAATCTTAGGAGTACCTCTGGCACCTTTCTGTATCCGGTAGGTTACATCATTGATCCTTGTCACAATCCGGTACGGTCCGTCCCATTTAGCTTGAAGCTTAGGAGATTTTCCTTTGCTGCGAACTGGATTGTGTAACCACACTAGTGAACCTTTATCAAAGCCCTTGTTGTTCATTTTGCGGTCATACCGTGTTTTCATCTTCTCAGACGTTTGCTGGCCCGTCTGTCTGACGTGCTCATAAATGTCATTCATTTTGTTCCGCAAGTCATTTGCATAATCGGTTATACTGCGTGGGGCATCAGGTGGTATTCCGGTAATCAGGTCTGCAGGCAACCGCAATTCTCTCCCAAAGTTTGCGAAAGCTGGTGTCACTGATGTACTTTCGTGAACAGCGCTTCGATATGACAACAAAAACGGTTGTATGTGCCTGTCCCAGTCTCGTTGCCGTTTTTCCACAACTTTTGCTAGGTACCTCTCCAATGTCTGATTAAATCTTTCTACCATTCCATCAGATTGTGGGTGGTAAGAAGTTGTTCGTGTTTTCTGAGTACCCATAACTCGGCAAGTTTCCTGGAATATTTGTGACTCAAAATTCCTTCCTTGATAGCTGTGAATCTCTAAAGGTACTCCAAAACGACAGAAGACTTCATGAACTAGTTTATCTGCAACTGTTGAAGCTTCTTGATTTGGAATGGCGAAGACTTCTGGCCACTTAGTGAAGTAATCCATCACAACCATGAAATACTTGTTACCACTTTCACTTTCCGGAAACGGCCCCGCAACGTCAATGGCTATCCTCTCCCATGGTGCACCAACATTGTACAATTTCAATGCGCCTCTACTACGAATTTGAGGTCCCTTTACAGCCGCACAACTTGTACATTTGCGGCACCAGTCCTCGACATCGTCACGACAGTGGACCCAGTAAAACCGTTCTCGGATCTTCAGGAGAGTTCGTTTAACTCCCAGGTGGCCTCCTGAACAACCACTATGGTACAGCTGGAGAACATCCGGTACTTTAGCCTTAGGGACAACCATTTGCAAATGACAACTGTCTCTCCGACCATTTTCCCATTTACGGCACAGGACTCCATCCTGAATCAGCAAGCTGTCCCATTGGGCCCAATAGCTTTTCGTGATCGAACTCATTGCTGAGACGTCGCTCCACTTGGGCTTAGGAGCACTGGCCTTCATCTATTCCAGAATCGGCTTAATGTCCGAATCTTCCTGCTGTGCATGTTGTAGGCTGTCCTTCCACTCATTGCTGAGCTGGTCTGTCCTGAGCATCCTCACAGATACCACTTCCTCACCCTCTTGCTTAGTACAATGCTTGCAATCTTCAGGCCAAGGTCTTCTTGACAATGCATCTGCATTGCCATGAGATTTCCCGCTGCGATGTTCGATCACAAAGTCGTATTCCTGCAGTAGTTCTATCCATCTCGCAACTTGACCTTCCGGATTTTTGAACTGCAATAGCCATTTCAGTGCAGCATGGTCAGTTCGTAAGTGGAATTTCCGCCCTAGAAGATATTTGCTAAAATGCTGCAAGGACTTTACCACAGCAAGCAATTCCCGTCTTGTGACACAATAGTTCCTTTCCGGCTTTGACAACGACTTGCTGAAGTACGCTATCACAATCTCTTGATCACCATTCCGTTGAGACAACACACCGCCAAGTCCTATATCACTTGCGTCTGTGTCAACTATGAATTCCTTGCCCGCATCAGGGTACCCCAAAATAGGTGTTTTGCACAGGCGGTTCTTGAGCTCCTGGAATGCAATATCGCAACTTTCATCCCAGCAGAATTGTCGCTTCTCCTCGGTTAGCTTGTGCAGAGGTTTGGCTATATCTGCAAAGTTCTTCACAAATCGCCGATAATAAGAGCACAAACCCAAAAATGCTCTAACCTGTGTCTTGTCTTTTGGGACCGGCCACTCCTTGACAGCAGCAATTTTCTCTGGATCCGTGCGGATACCTTCTTCCGACACTACATACCCCAAAAAACTAACTTGCCGTTTGAATAGTGAGCACTTCTTTGGACTCAACTTGAGGTTGGCACTCTGGATCTTCATGAGCACGCGTTCCAGGTTTTGAAGGTGCTCCTCAAACGTACGGCCTACGATGATGATGTCATCCAAATAGACGAGACAGGCATCTCCAATTAGCCCGGTAAGTACAAGCTCCATCAACCTTTCAAACGTTGCTGGAGCATTGCACAATCCAAACGGCATGACTTTAAATTGCCACAGACCCTTTCCTGTGGAAAATGCAGTTTTCTCCTTGTCCTTAGGGTCAATTTCAACCTGCCAGTAGCCACTTTTCAGGTCCAGCGTACTAAACCACTTTACGCCTGTGAGCATATCCAGCGTGTCATCAATTCTAGGCAAGGGATAGCTGTCCTTCTTCGTAACGTCGTTCAGGCGGCGGTAGTCAACACAAAACCGCATGCTGCCGTCCTTCTTTTTTACCAGCACCACAGGTGAACACCATGGACTAGATGAAGGTTCAATAACACCATCCTTCACCATTCCCTCAATCATGGTTTCCACTTCCTTTTCACGTGCTACAGGCAATCTTCTTGGCCGCTGACGAATAGGCAATTCTTGTCCTGTGTTTATTTTGTGTTGAACTAAGCCAGTCTTTCCTATGTCAGCTTCGTTTGACGAGAAAACATTGGCGTACTTGAGTAACAACTTCTTCGCCTTGACCATTTCATTCGGGGAGAGAATGCTGCGACAGTCTTCTAAAAGTGTGGTCACTCTCGTTTGTCCATCCTTGCTAGGGGTCCCGGTCGATAGATATTCGCACCGACGCAACCAATCCACTTCCTCACTAGTACCAACCAATGTGCCTTTTTCTATAATCTGTTCCTGATCACAAAGGTTCAACACACGTACTCCTGAGATGTCGGTGGTTCTGACCAAGGTTCGAGCCACTTTCCATGGAAGGTCATTGTCTACCCTTTCCACGAGTACACAACGATGAGCTTGCCCAGGACTCCGAGGAAGACTAACCGGCACAATCGTTTCCGATCTCGGCGGAAGAACAATCTTCTTAAGGCTGTACACATTCCCTGGTAACGCCCCTTCCATGAAAAGTTCTTCTTGTCCACATTTCAAAACACCTTGCTTAACGTCGATCTCACAACAATTCTTCCTCATAAAGTCTAGGCCCAGGATGCAGTCGTCCATTATATCAGCCACGATGACATTATGCAGGTAGATCATGTTGCCTAGCTTCAACTCCATCTCCTTCTCTCCACGGACGGGTATGTGCTGACCAGTGGCTGTCACCAAATTAATGCGTTCTCGGTTGTATGCGGAGTCACCAAGGAACCGACTTATAAGTTGGGAACTGACAACCGTGCGAGAGGCTCCAGTGTCTATGGTCAGTTTACATGGCGTTCCGTTGACTTCGCCCTTGATGATTAGGCTGTTCCCATCATGAGTTTGTGAGATCGAAATCCTTGGGGCTCTTTTAACATCAGCCAGCACCCGCCAGTTTCCCTGCTGCTGCTGGGCGGTGCTATTATCCGTACTACCCTCTCGAGATCGATCACCTTCCCTTTTTACAGTTCGCTTAGGGCAGCTGGATCGAAGATGGCCCCTTTCTCCACAGCCGTAGCACCTAGGGCTGTAGCTTTTATTGCGGTCCTGAACTTTAGCTGCTGCAACCTCCCTGACGCGGTGGGAACGATGATCCTGCCGCACGGCTTCCACCTCCAGTGCATGGGTCAAGGCGTCCTTAAGCGTCTCGTGGTGCCCGAGCCTCACAGCAGCTCTGACTTCAAGGTCGCGGATGCCGTCGATGAATGTCTGCACCAAGTTCCCTACAATAAGCGCAGGTACAGACTGGTACGCTTTTCGAACCAGCTTCTCCACCTCAAGGGCCCACTGCTGCAGGTTTTCGATACTGCGTTGCACGCGATCTTTGAGCTGCGCACGAAAGACGTGTTCCAGGTGAGCGTCGCCATATCTCGCCTCCAATGCCTTAAGGAGCTGCTCGTAAGTCACTTCCTTACCGAGAGCTTCCAGAACAGTTAATGCCTGGTCGCGCAGGCCTAGGGTGAGAGCAGTCATGGCCTGACTTTTATTCCAGCCGTTCGCTTTCATGACAGCCTCGAACTGGATTTTATAGGCCGACCAGGAAGAAGTCCCGTCGAACGGTGGCACTTTGAATCCACGTAGCGAAGGTGTTGTAGCTACCACGGGAGCTGTAACTCCATCCCCAAGTTTGAGGTCGTCCAGCGTTTTCTTCACATCAGCCATCACGTTGTCAACCCGATTGTTCACTTGGTCGATTCGGGTTTCAGCTTCCGACAGGCGGTTGTCATGTTGAGCAACCCTATCCTTCACCTCCTTTATCTCTTTCCCGAAGGTAGCGTGAAGGTCCTTCCTGAGGAGCATCTGTTCTTCCATACCGCGCTGCAGCTGCTCTTCCAGCCGACGGGTCTGTTCCTCCTGTCGGCGGGCCTGTTCCTCCTGTCGGCGGGCCTGTTCCTCCTGTCGGCGGGCCTGATCCTGCAGCATCATCATCAGAGCTTCTAAGTCAGGTGCTACAGATGCAGGAGCTGCTGACGGGCCAGCCTCCGTGGTTAGCAACTGGCCCTCCGACGTTTGCGGCGTTGCATTACCAAATCGTCTCTGGTCCGTCTCCTGTTGGCGTTGACTTCGGGTACGGATACCCTCCGTGTCGTCTTTAGGTAAAATCGGCATATTTGATCCCACTTCTGACACCAATTGTTACGAGCTTGGGGTTCGAGGCAATTAAAAACTACCGATTGAATTACCAAAATTTACACTTTAATTACACAACACTAATTACAATCTAAGATCACACTAATAATAAAACACAGTTCGCCGTTATTTCGCTTCGAAGTATTCTCTTGTATCGCCAATTCAATACTGCCCCGGTCGTGGTCTATACCGGTCTTATATAGGGCCTCAGATAGTTTCCAGAACCTTCTACTGTAGCGACATCTAGAATGTTCGAGTACATATCGGTCCCGAAATTTCTGGAAGGATCTCGACTCCTAGTTCTGCTACTCGACACTAGAGGGCGCTAGTGTGACTAGTGTTGCCATGTACAAGACATTAATAGTGGCGCGTAACAATATATTCTTCTTAGAATACATTTTGCTCTCCAAGCTGCAATATCACTGCGTTCTATCAATACTTTTCGTTTAAACTGGCAGCTTTTGTATTTGTAGCATAGTCTTTAAACTACTACTCAACGATGTTCTGCCATATTTAAACTCAATATCAGCTTTCAATTCCAACCAAAGTTTATTTATGGCAGGAATCTCTTTCTTCACGACGTCAAACGATTGACTTAAATGCCTAATAGCGCCACATATAAAAATCGTCTTAACCATTTTTTTCCTACGGTTCCTAGTTTTTCCCGGCATCACAATTTTAGAAGATGAAGCTGCTACTGCATTATGTGCCCTCTTGAGTTATTTGAGTGAGGGTGCGTTCAGAAACACCTAAAACATAATAAAAACAGTGCATTATAAATACATGATATTAATGACACGAGGAAACTAAAAACGAACAAGTCAAGAAAATTAGGGAATTTCACCAAGCAACACGATCGCACTCCCTACGACCCCGAGATCTGTCGTAATAAACGTAGAATACCCAACGTACTGGCACCGTTTAGATGCCGCACTGTTTTTGCTAGACGACAAAGCGCATATCTCTCTATAGTACTCTATAACAAACTTAACAAAATTCTAAATTTCTATCCTCTTTCAAAACACGAGTGTAAAATTAGAGTTCGTGATTGGTTGTTGTCATTAGATTACAATAAAACAGAAAATTTATTAATTTAATTTGATTTAATTTAATTTATTAATTTAATTTATAGTTTCAAAATAAATAAATAAACAAAAACAGGGAAGTGATTAATGTGTGGACAATTAATATTAACGTTTCGTTTATGGTTATGCATAATTTATATATGAACTTTAATATTTATATATGTATATATATATATATATATATATATATATATATTTGATAATTATATAAGTATATATACACATATATATGTGTGTGCTCGTCTTGTATATATGTATATTAAATATATGTATAGTATAGATGTTTAGTATTAAATATAACACATAGAATACTTTATTATATTACAA